CTGGTTATTAGAAAAATGCAAATCAAAACCACACTGAGATACCACCTCACACCAGTTAGGATGGCCATCATTAAAAAATCTAGAGACAACAGATGCTGGAGAGGATGTGGAGAAATAGGAACACTTTTACACAGCTAGTGGGAGTGTAAATTAGTTCAACCATTATGGAAGACAGTGTGGCACTTCCTCAAAGACCTAGAAATAGAAATTCCATTTGATTCAGCAATCCCATTACTGGGTATATCCCAAAGGATTATTAATCGTTCCATTATAAAGACACATGCACACGTATGTTCATAGCGGCACTGTTTACGATAGCAAAGACCTGGAACCAACCCAAATGCCCATCAATGATAGACTGCACATGAAAAATGGGGCACATATGCATCATTGAATACTATGCAGCCATAAAAAATGATGAGTTTGTGTCCTTTGTAGGGCCATGGATGAACCTGGAAACCATCATTCTCAGTAAACTGTCACAAGAACAGAAAATCAAACATTGCATGTTCTCACTCATAGGTAGGTGTTGAACAATGAGAACACATGGACACAGGGAGGGGATCATCATACACTAGGGTCTATGGGTGAGGCCAGGGGAGAGACAGTGGGTTGGTGGGAAGATTGGGGGGATTACATGGGGGAAAATGCCAGATATAGGTGGCGGGAGGATGGAGACAACAAACCACATTGCCATGTATGTAACTATGCAACCACTCTGCATGATCTGCACATGTACCCCAGAACCTAAAGTACAATAATTTTAAAAATAAAACAAAAGTATTAACAAAAAAAAAGAAATGCTAAAGATAGTTCTGCAACAGAAGGAATATAACACTAAATAGAAACATAAAGATATATAAGAGATGGACGCTGGAAAGAATATGTGCATGGATAAATACAAATTAATATTAAATGCACACAACTATGGATGTTATGGTTTGTAAATTTTGTAATGCATATAAAACTGAATTGCATGAAAAATAGTGCAAATGGAATTAAAATATCTCTTTCTGTTTCAGAAAGTGTTAAATTGATATTTTGTACTAGGAAGTAATAAGTTGAGGATTATAAGCTGCTATATAATAAATTATAATAAGCTGCTATATAATAAATTATTGCATATTTACACACTGCAATAAAATCATAAAATGGCTTTGAAAATTAAAAAATGGAAAGTACATATCATGCAAAAACTGAGTTAAAAAAAAACCTGACATACTTTAAGACAAGGGAGAAAATGGGACATTTCATAATGATAAATGGGTCAATCTATTAGGAAATCATTAAAATACTAAATCTATATAGACTCAAAACATAACTTTAAAATATATAAATCAAAAATTGATTAAATAAAGCAAGAAAAAGGCAACTCCATGTTATGGGGTGACACTTTATACTCAAGAGATGATAGAAAAGCAGAAAATAGCACAATAAACATTTTTAAGGTTTGATCAATATATAATTATCACATTTGGCCTAGTTAAAGAAGAAAAAAAACTATATAGTCACTTGACTTGGTATTGAAAAAAACATTGAACAAAATTTAAACCCTGTTTATGTACAAACGTCCTAGAAAATTAGAAATGGAAAGGGCCTTCCTTGTCTCTTAGAGAATACACAGACAGACACACAAACACACTCACACACAATCACATTAAATACTCAAAACTTGTTTTTCTTCATTTTAGAATTAGATATTTTTAAACATGTAACTATCTCCTTTACTAGACAATACTGTACTGGATCTCTTACTAGTACAAAGGGCAAGAAAAAATAAATAAAATGTATGAGTACTGAAAATAAAGAAAATGAATACTTATTTTTTGTAGATAATATGATTGTTGTTTGGATAGTAAACCAAAACATTAATCTAGAGGTGTTCTAAGACTTCACATCTTATGCCAGGCACAGTGGCTCAGGCCAGTAATCCCAGCACTTTGGAAGCCGAGGCAGAAAAATCACATGAGGCCTGAAGTTTAAGATCAAGCCAGGCCTACATGGTGAAATTTTTTTGTGTCTTAACTCCTTCAGTTCAAATCTGATTTTAATTAAGTCCTCCCTTCTGCTAGATTTGGAATTGATTTTCTCTTGCTTCTCTAGTTTTGTTGTTGTTGTTGTTGTTGTTTAGTTTTGATGTTAGGCTGTCAATTTGAGATTTAACTTTTTGATGTGAGCATTTAGTGCTATAAACTTCCCCTTTAACACTGTCTTAGCTGTGTCCCAGAGATTCTGGTATATTGTACCTTTGTTCTCATTCATTTCAAAGCATGTTTTTAT